TAATTATCAAAAGTTATTCAGATTTTATCTTTTCACGCTCCCAACTAAACAATTGGTTCACATTAGATTCACCATTCGAAAACGCAACAAAACGAAATCAGAATCTTCAATACAATAGCAAATGTATATTTTTAATTTGGGTATAATTCTGGATCTTTCTAATTCGTGTGTATGTGAATCCTGTGTTGTTAGATTTTGTGAAAGTTGAGAAAGATATTTGATTGCCAGATTTGTTACCAGTTGATTATTATCAGAAAGATTTTTAAATATACTCACAGATACACCGACAATAGCGATGAAATCAAAACGAAGCTATGAAGCATAAAATTTCGTAATTGTTAGTAGAAGGAAAACTTAAGACATTGACCGACATTTTAACAACTTCATATGAAAGTGGCGAAAATGATTCGCGACATTCGCGCTTAAAAAAACAAAATAGATGGGCATACCAATCGCGTACTGCGTTCGCGATTACAACATCAAAGCTTTCGCCAGAACAACAAATTGCAATTTTTTCTTTTTTTCTTATCAATCGCCCAAATCACAATTAATATATAAAATTTGAAATAAATTATATCAATCTACCAGGCTGTTTGCGTAATAATTTTTGCGTTATTGTGTTCTTCAAGGTATCTTCGTACGCGTTTAGCTTATATCTCTTGGATACATTAGACATATCTCTCCCTTTGCTTGCTTAATTCATAAGGAAAATATCGACTTTTTTTATATATCAATGAACAAAAGCTTTTTTTCCCCTACATGATATAAGTCGGTACATATGGACACTGTGGCAATCCTGACAGCCTTAAAGAAATTAAAATTTAACAAGTAAGAACATTATAGTCGACCACAGCCGACCATTAAATATGCAACACCACTTCGCTTAATACGATTACTCGTAAGTCGTTATGTTTTTCATTATATAATGACTTTTTCAAATAAGTCGTTATAAGGCATATGGTCCCATCCAAACCATTTCCAATTGCATTCGTTCTTGGGCCAAGAGAGATCGGTGTATCCAATTTCATCGAATCATATAAAAAATTGCGTGCTGTGCGTTGAACACAAGAAAACAAGAGAAAGATGGGCGGACTGATGGACAAATAAGCTTAAACGTCAAAATCACTTTGTGAATCTCTCAGTATAATACAAAATGGGTGTACCTCAAGTCCTTTTAGATGTTGCTAACCTCTCAACAAACTTGGTGTACGTTGTACCCCAGATAGAGGAGCAGGATATAAAAATGCAGCTGGATCCTTAATAGAACTAACTTTCACCTACAATTAGTACACTGGATTTTCGCTCATTACATCGACTATTGAAGGACGAGGGAAGATTCAATTTTCGGCAGAAGTTGTCATCAGGGATCCAATAGCATGCTTATACGTTCAGCGCAAACCATTCGTCTGATTTAATCTAGATCATTTAGATCACTTGTTTGTCAATGTCTATTATTAATACGCTCCCAGTTACAAACGTTGAAAAAAAGACGTAAAGTAAACGTTCTTCGTTGATTGCGTCATAGTTCGAATCTTGGGCACAAATTGGGCACGCTTAAAATTGTCAAAAAACTGTAAGGTACATTCACTATCAACTTTTGATCTAAAATGTAATGTTAGTAGTTATGTGTCAGAGTCATCGAAAAATTCCGTGCAAAAATACCATATCCGACTATGAACAACATGCCCAAAATTAAACAAGTAAGAACGTTATATCCAGGCTAGGCCGATAACTAGAAATCGTTACCTTATTTTCCTAGTACAATTATTCGATCGTTTTGCCAACAGGCAAACCTTTCATGAAAGCCCGCATATTGGAGGGTGCCCAAAACGTCGTGTGAAGTGATCCAAATTCAGCAAATCTTATTTACCTCCCAAAAATTTTATTTATTTTAGTTTCCGTCATAAAAAACTAGAAATTATATTTTCTCTCCAGGTAAGAGCTTGCTTTTCATGATAGCCCTTATATATGTTGGGGTCTAAAAATAGATGTATGTGATCCTCTTAATGTGCTTATTTTCCTGCTGTAGACCAATTTTCATCATCACAAAATATTAAGAATTAAACAGTTTTCTGAAGGGCTTATTGTTCACAAGAAATCTTAAATAGAGTGGGATCCAAGAAATAAACTCCTGTGATCCAAATTTGGTCCATATAATTTTTTTGTCAAATTACTATCATGAACAAATTTTCTTCGTAAAATATTAACAATTAGCAATTTTTGGAATATAATGGCTTATATTCCTTACGTGCCAAAATTTCCCAGGACTTAGCAGGTCCAAATTCGGTAAGCTTGACTTCTTTGTCAATGAACCAAGTACTATGATATATTGAAAATTAGACCTTCCCGCCATATAAAGATTCAGTCGATCGAATGCTGACGTAGCGTATTTAAAGGTGCATCGTGGCCCACTATAATGTTTTTATTTGTCATCGTATAAGAAAGAGGCAGATGTTAAACTGCAACTGTATTTGAAAGCGGCATGTCAAAAGTTTTTAAGCCATATTTAGCACTTCCATGCATATAGCAGCATTAGTCTTTGCGTTCTATCTTCTTTCCTTCCCTGCACAAATTTTTTAAACTTTTATAAATATATTATACAATTATATAATAACAAAATTTTGCAGAGTTTAATCTTGCTTGCCCTATTATTTAAGAATATATAAATGTGTGCGTGTCCAGAGCAATGGTACGGTAAAGCGAGAGATTCAGTTTGATTTATTTATTTGAAACATTCGAACATGAAATTTCTTATTAGAATAGTAAAATTAGTTTAATTAAAACAATCACGTAAGCGCAATGACGACAACAACAACTATAGCAACAAAGAGAGAATTATAGGAAAACGAAAACAACGTTTTTAAATAGTATATATTCACTGGCTGTGGAAGACGATAATGACAGTGAACACTAAATGACATAATTGCCCGCTTAGTGTAAAATTACCCAAAATCGTTTCAAAGATGATAAAAATTAAGCAGAATTCAATCAGACCTGATACTCGACTTAGTAAATTATCCGTTGTTCAGTTATTGCCCCGCAGAAGAAGAAGGAGGTCTGACAAAGGCATAAGAGGTGTTTTTACACACTTTACCGAAGGGTGAGGACATATTCCTTTTTGGCAAAGCGTTTGCAGGATTCAGAAGGAAGCTGGAGCCATCCAATGAAGTATATATATTCTCGATCAGCATAAAATTGTAAACCGATTTAAACATGCTCGCCTGACTGTCTATCGGTAATGTCCGTGGTAAACATTCCCGTGGTCGTAGCAATGAAGCTATTCGCTTCAAATTTGCCAAAAACATTGGAAGTTCTTGCGTGCAGGTTGGTATTGAGGGCGGGACTAATTAGTTAAATCGCACGTCCACAGTGAAGCGTAAGCCAAACGCAAGTTTGCAGATTTTGCCCATAAGAAAGCTGAAAGTTTGTATAATTAGTTTATGGCGGACCCCAATGTTCATTTAAAAGAAAGGAAACAAATCGGTCACGCGCAGACAGAGTTATAAGTTATCCCATTTTAATTTTTTCCACTTTGTTTACTTTTCCTGCTTGTTACTCATAAGGTAAGCAAGGCAGGATGTTGAAAATTATTCCAAATATTCCTCACATGAAGACATATTATTTGTCTAAATATGTATTTATTCCAAAATAAATAAAAGTGAACGATTCCTTTTTTCTTAGCAATATAATCAATTGAGTACGAAATAAAAGGATTTGGAAAGTGGAATGCGTCACAATTCCGCCCGTATGGCTAACAAATAATAGCACTTGAAGAGTAGGTATAGATAGGGTAACGATGATGACTATAAAACATTCGGTGATACACTGACCTGCTTTGACCCAAAGACAAACGTTATTGAAGGTGGTTCGGATCGATCCACTTTTTCGACTACTCACCATATAGCTCCCATTTGGGCATTCTAAATTGGTGTGAAACCTTTGGACCGGCCTTGCCCGACTATAATGTTCTTACTCGTGTTTTTTTATATATTATATAAAAGCGTTGATTTAAAGTATACATTTATATTCACATATACGTCTTTGGAAATTGCTATTTCAATGCGAGCCATTGACAACTATTTATTTGTTCTCTACCACTTTTCAAATCAATTCTCATTGATAGTTCTAAGATAAGCAACTTGGTTTGTGGCTACTTTCCAATTCAATCCTCATCGATAGACCCGAGATAAGAGCGTCGGTTTGCGTGTACTTTTCATTTCAACCCTCATCGATAGACCTAAGACAAGAGGCTTGCTTATGGCTACTTTTCAAGTCAATGCTTATCGGTAGACTTAAGATAAGAGCCTTGGTTTGCGGTTTCTTTTCAATTTAATCCTCCTCGATAAACTCAAACTCAAAGTCAGAGATTCGACTTTCTATTTCAACTATTGCTTTTCGCTATTGGATTATATGCAAATGTAATAACCATTTTATAAAAAAAAAAGTTTCTTGACGTTAATAACAGAAAATAAAAGCGCAAAACCTGGCTGCGTTTGAAGTCAAACTAAAATATGTGTGGCAAGATGTTGCATAAAATATTCTACCGATAAACAATCATCAAGGATGTGTGCGGAAATATTCAACTCAAAGTATAGAAATGATATGCCGCAATGCAATCATCCCTTCGTTTTCCCTTTCAGTCAAACATCTCTCATCTACTCTACGGCTCTTATTGCTCAACTCTCTTAGGACGAGAGCATTGTGAGTGTAGGAAAATTCAACCAAATCTGAAAAGACGAGAGGATTGTGTAAAATATTTAGAAATGAAGAAAGCGCTTACACCAAATAAAACCAACGGAATAACATAGCCCCACTTCGCGAATACTACACTAAAAAAGTGAAGATGTTAACAACTAAGCTAACAACAATTGTCCAAAATAAACTTAAAAAAAAAAAAAAAAAAAACCAATGTAAAGCCAAGCACATAAATGGAAAAAACTAAGGAAAAAGTTGTGTGAATAATTCCACTTTGTTCAGTAAAATAAGTTTACAAACATTACCTTTAAAGCAGGAGGAAGGCGTTTTATTATGTTATTCCTATTACTAATATTTTATTATAAATATCACGTTCTTCGATTTTATTTAGTAAAAAAGTAATAAACCGAAATTATAGAAATATTTTTTTTTTTTTTTTTTTATTATTTATTTTTATTTGCAGCTTCAACTTCTAGTGATCGGAATTATTTTGCGATTTTAGAAAATCATCTGCCATCCATTATCTACGTATAATGAAATATGTGCAGCAGATTGATTTTTCGTAAATCTCTCCTTTAAATTTTATTAAATACTGCAGGGAGATTTCACAACATCTTATTTGGGTGATTTTTTTTGTTGTTGTTCTTTTTCGTTTTTCAATTGAAATCAAAAAAAAAATGTGAATTGTTTTTCAAACATTTTTGATAAATTTTATTTTTTGTTACTTAATTTTTTCGTTTTCTTTTGTTTTTTTGTCTAATTTCCGAAAAGCAAGATAATTTTTGAGCTTTTCAGAACCGTGTACATGTGTGCCCTTAAAGTATCGCTGTCTAGTATCGTTGCGATGACATTTTTTTTTTTTTTTTTGTTTATAATTTCTCAGTGAAATTGAAAGGGCCAGAGGACGACGAAAAAAAAAAAAACAAAAATGTAAATAAATAAATATGTAAATAAAGGAAAAGATTGCTCGCACTGTTTCACTAATATCCGCGATTTTCCTAACCGGAGCAAGTGCTTGGACTAATGTCAGTTAGAAAACTGAATTAAATTCAATTAAACTCACAGTCGAAGAGCAAATCGAGTGCGAGCATAAATAAAAATTCACAAATACACGCATAGCATTATATTACATCAACAGCGTGCGCCAGAGAGCATGTAACTTTGTATTCCCTTCTTCCCTCACAGTGTTGTATATATACATATATATGCATGCTTGCACTTACTTCATTTGCGAAATTTGTGAAAACATAGAAAAATTATAAATTTAAATTATAAATAGTAGTCCAGCACGAATCTTGCAAACAAAAATTTCCTCGTAAGGATTACAGATACATAGTATAAAGATTTCCCTTGCTTTGCACAAAGACGTATTGCTATTATTTTTAATGACAACGGTTCTTTTTCATTTCTTTCTTGCTGCTTCCGCGCAGTCATAAAGAGGATAAAAGAGGCGAATGCATATCTATGTAACGATTAGAAAAGGGATATTTATTTTCCTACGTAAATATGTTTATAAAAATTCCGTATATCCTTTTTAGGATTTTAAGAGAAAATCTATGCTAGCTCAATGACAATGAATGTTATGTATCAGTGAGTTCAGCATACGTTTAAAGAAATATGTTAAAAGGAATATCATAGACTCCGTAATCGTTGGTTCATATTATGAAAAGTCATTCAAATCAAGTAAGTATAAAGGAATGGTATTTGCGGAATATACCTAAAAAAGTATTCTATTTAAAATTTTGTGTCCACCGCTAATAATCAGAGACCCTATAAAATCATAAGTTGATCTTGAAAATAATTTTGTTACATCTTTCCGTCATATACTTTTTGATTTGCTTTAGAAGTAGTCTTAGATAAATTCATATACGATATGTTTTCGTCAGTGTAACACTAAGATATTCATTTCAATTTTATTATCCGTTTGCCATTTTCAGTTAAATATTAAGAAGTCACGTCGGTTTTTCTTTACTTGTTAGCCACAATCACAAACACTAGAGCATATCTTCTGTTTTTGTGAGATCGCCATAAGGGAGATCAGAAACTGAAATTTGGCACAAATTTTCCTTAATTGATTACAAATGCATAATTAAAAAATGGTCGCAGTCTCTCTATATCACGGCAATAAAAAATATTATACACGGGCTAGACCGATTTTAAATACCCTACACCACATTGTCTAGTACTGTTTTTATATGGAGTTAATATTATACTGCATACTAAAAATTAGACCTCTTTGCAAATAAAAGCTTACTTTCCGTACGCGTGGTTGCGCCCAAGAGATCCAAAAATTGTGGTGCGTATTCAAAGTTAAGCACATAATAATAATTTTCGTCATAACATAATAAAACTTCGAATTTTCTGCTTTAAGAAACAAAGTTTTTGTAAAAATCCTTGTGTACGATAGGGTCCAAAATATTGGCGTAGGTGATTTAAATTTGGTACAGTGAACTTTTTATTTTAAATTACTATTATTTTGTAGGTTTTATTTAGCATATTAAAATTTAGATCCTTCTGTCCTACGAAGACTCAATTCTTGTAGGGTAGTATCAAAAACACAGACCGAGGTGGTCAAAATTTGATACAGTTAATTTTTTTATCTTAAATTCTTATATATTGTTATATAATTGGTGTTTATCATGAAGCATTGAAAATTAAATCTTTATGTCGTACGAACTTTAGTTTCCATTATATGAAAGGGGATTCAAAAATTGACCCAGCCATTTTTTTAGAGAATTTTCGCATTTTTCCCATATGAAGACTTTTCAAAATAGACCGTTGTATGGACATCGGTCGAAAAAGTCGACGGATCCAAACCATTTTCAATAGAGTTCATCCTTCGGTCAAAACACATCAATGTATCCAATTTCGTCACAATATCTCGAAATTTGCGATCTCCAGCTTGAAAATAAATTTCCATAAGCAGACATTAGAAGGACAGAAAAGTGGGGGTCTGTCCTATGCGCTCTTGAGTGTTACATACGTCCAACCAAATTTAGTATAGTCTGTACCAACAAGTGGTGTAGAATATAAAAATGGAACCTCGAAAAAGAGCGACAATTTTTCCATATTTTCATCTATAACTTTTCATCCTGTAAAGTACTTCTAACCCACACTAGGGACCACTTCGCATCTTCTAAAATTAGTGATACCATTTTAATTCAAATTTATTTCCGATTTGCTTTAACGCATGTTCGCTTGTTCTTCATGTAATTGTATAAAAAGGATAAATATATTGAAATAAAAATTTTGTCGTTAATTGTGGACGCATCATTAAGCCGATCAAGACTATTTTTGGACTAAGGCAGGATTTGGCGAATATTTAAATAGAAGGTCTTCCGAAATATCTTCATAGATTCGAAAGTTATAGTCAAAAATATGAGCAAATTCTCGGTTTTTTTTTGCGAGGTTAAGTTTCTCCCTTTTGGTGGGCGTAAATGCGGGCAGATCGAAACCACTTTTCTAAAATCAGAAATATTTGTGTCAATTTTCACCTTCCTGCCTTCATTTTTACGACTGTGGCAAGTCGACCAAAATAGGGTCTTTTGGCAGAACTGGGATTTAACTCGTCGGTATCTCGGAAAACTAGGCGAAGTAGAAAAAATTGTTTAAAGATATTGAGGGTTTTTTCGTATAAGCAAAAGTCACAAAAACCTTTGGTACTTTATCTGTGGTATAATTATTTTTTGAAGATCAAAAATTAAAAAAAATCAGAATTACTTTCTCGACTGTTCTAATATTGAACATAGTTTGTTATCTATTTTGGAATTAGAATTACATTCTATTAACTTACTACTACGACTCAGCCTTAGTTAGTAGTTGTTATTTGGTGTTGTAGTGTTCTTTATTATAATCTATTCTCTGTTTTATCGGTTAGTGATTTGCGATTCCTTAGCTACTTAATATTACGTACTCTTTGCTTGATAATCTATTCAAAGTAAATTCAATTTTTGTGTGTACACTTATGAAGAGCAAGGGAATGGGAAGGGTGTACTTATGGAGAGTAAGGGAAATGCCACAGAATTGCAATTTGTTTTAGTAAGTTATGTATATAGCATATAGCGTATGTGTAGTAATATATGATATATTCATAAACACATTTTAGAAGACTGTCCTTTTAAATATAATGGAGAATACCTAATAGAAGGATTGGTTTCTATTTTAAATAACGACTGAACCATTTCTTAGGCAATTCGAGCAAAGCTCGATAGGACATTCATTTGCGATTCCAAATAAGATAAAGCTCGCAACAATCTATTATATAGACGCGTAAAAGCATTACCGCCTGACAAGGCCGACCCATAAATACCGTACGACCGCTTCATCTAATACAATTTATCAGTTTCTGTGACAAAATATTAAAAATTATATCTTGTTGTAGAGAAATACTTTTGATAAAAGACTCTTTCTGGGGGACAGACCAAAACGTGAACCGACGTGATCCATTTTCAGGAAAATTAATTTTCTTGCCAAAGATTCTGTTGTTCTTCACCCATTTTTTCATTAAGAATCAAAAGTTTGTCTTTATTGTCTTACAAAGGCTTAGTTTTCATGGGAACGGTTTTTTTGGGGTGGATCTAAAAAATAGACTTATATGAGTCGAATTTCTTACAATAAACTTCTATATCAAGTCTTTACTACGGATCAGTGATCATTAAATAGTATGAAAAGGTATGTCTTTTTGGTAGGTAGCAGTTTATTTTTCTTAGCAGTGGTTACGCCGGAAAAGGTTCAAAAAAATCCAATCCAATATTTTGTTGCGAAATAATTATACTTTTTGGAGAACTAATACTAATACTATTTTGCCAAAAAATTTTTCAAAATAAACCATTACATAACGATTGGACCTAAGAAGAATCCGATCTAATCTACTTTCAACAAGGTTCGTCCTTGGGCCGAAATAGGTCATTGCAACCAACTTTGACAAATTACACTACAACTAGTGTAAAGTGCCATTGCATCGTTGATATTTCATATGCCGTTTCAGAGTCTAAGCTAATTATTTCAAGTTGAAAGAAAAAGAAGGCTAAAGAGCTTTAAAACTGTTTCAGTGTACGACTGCGGGGATCATATAATTATAATAGTTTAAAAAATGTATATATTTCAAAGGTTAGATGAATATAAATACAGTGACTTTTAATTAGTAAAGCATTACTTATGCATTCACACGCTAATTTATATAACTTGGTGTACTATAATATATTGTAAGCGTTTATTTAACTTTCTTTCGTGCCACAATGAAATCTGCCAACCGATATTTCTGGCGTTTGCATATTGCACGACATTTTGCTTCCGATGGTCATATGGTGCAGTCAATATTTCTCTGTACAAATTAAATGAAGATTTACCTTTTTGCTGAGAATATCCTTATGATGTGGCCACCAAATGAGAAGTGGATGGAGTGGAGAACGCGTTTAGCTAAAGAGCTGAGTTGAATTGGAATAAAAAGAATAAATTATATCAACAATTTTTTAAAATAAGCCTTTACTTGAGATAAGCGATAACCACCACCATATGCCCTTTTAAAAGAAAGCTTTATATGGAAAATGTTCGAAAAGTACTCCAATCTGAATCATTTTCATAATAGTTCGTCTTTGATCTAAAACATGCCACTGTGCCAAATTTCATCAAAATAGCTCTCTCGGCCTGCAGCTTATACACTGAAATCAACACAGACAGACGGAAAAACCTGCCTTCCAATATATGATAGAATACGCGGAGGTACCATTTGGGGCTTTTGATACGACAGCGACCTGAGTAATTAACCATCAGATCGACTCCTTCCATATACACATTACACTCTTGCACTATTTTTGGACAGCAGATATCGATCTTTGGCTTTAGTCACTTATCACATCGACAGATATGGTCTATGTGTTGCGAGCCAATGTAAGTAGTCATCAAAGTACCGACCAACTAGCGACCTTGTTGTGCAGTGGTGAGAAGATCCTTCCCCATAAGCTCCCTTATGGACCGTCCTCTCCATTAGATCCTTCTTGTTCGCGAACCGATAATTAGGCAATCTATTCTGTACAGTGCCAGCACAATGGATCCCTTGTTCCGATAAATATAATGTGAGGGGCAATGATGTCTACAAATTATCACTATATGATTTCTCCTTCTTGGTGTCGCTCTGGCTGTATTAGTCAATTTCTTTTGTCATCTTGTCCCGAGTGCATTTCGAAACGGTATGCGTATCCCATGAGATCAAACAAAACAAATAACTTGTGGTCCCACTTGTAGGGCTTATTTGCAAATATTGTTTCAGGAAATGGCCGATTTCTTCGAACATATTTGTTAGCCTGTTGAGAGGCACTGGTGTATGGGAACAGATAAAAATGTTTCACTTAGGTGGTCTATTACAGGTCTGATCTCGGTAAGCGATCCTGATTTAAATGATCTCTCGGGAGAAGTTCTTCTTAATACGTATGAAACTTTTAATTAGTTAATGTAAGAATTATTTCTCTACATTGCATATATAGTTAGTGAAACAATACAATTACTTAAGAAGTAGGAAAGCTATGCCCGGTGGGGGCAGAATCTCGCATACTCCACATTATATTTTTCGCATTCTGCTCTCCAAGTTCTTTTATCTTATCTTGTATCCATATCGCTAGCATTATTAAGAAAAAAGTAATCGCGTTGTCCACCCTATTATTTTGTTTTTAACCAACTTTTAGGCAGATAATATATCTTCTTTTAAGGAGTTCTAAACATTCTGTCTTGTTTGTCTTGCGATAAATAAGCATGAAACCTAAAAAAAATAAAAAACAAAATTTAATCACTTGTAACTTTCTGTGGTCATTTTCGCGCATAGAATAGAGCGCTTCGTAAAATGAATGTGGAATATTTCAGTCTTCTAACGTTTATAATTTCCGAGTGACGAGCAAAAACCCACAAATTTTTGTTTTTGTTAAAAAACAAAATAAATATACACCCATCTCACAGTGGTGTGTAAAAAAAGCCAAAAAAAAAAAAATTGAAAATAGTACTAAGCTTCACAACAACACAAATTGACGAAGATGTAGGAAATAAACTGCTAAAGATTCTACTTACGTTTGGAAATCGATAATAGTTTTGGTAAAAAATTAAAATAAAAAAAAAATGTGTAGAGGTTGCTACATAAGGAGTGGCTTGCACCATATGATGCAGATGTACATCACTATGCGTTTAAGCGTAACTCTATAAAAACGACAAGAGCAAGTAAATGCATATTTAAAATTTGTAGTATATTGACATTAGAGGTAACATACGTAGATAATAAAAGTAAATGAAGATAAATACCACAATTGATAAGTAAAGTGACCATTCCTTAAATGCCGTTTCGATCTTCTGGACGAGTCTCACTATAAAAACCTAAATTTACCATCGGCACAATATTACTGTAAAATGAGAAATCAGCGTCTGACGTCCGTTGGGAAGGCAAAGGTGGTGGTTGTGGTAAACCTAAAGGCGGTTGAGGTATTTGAAGTTGTGCTTGCATTTCAGGATTCTGTTGCACACAGGCTGCGTTTAGAACTGCCTGGTGGGCAGATAAGGCTGCACTTTGCTGTAATTCATGCATTTTCAAATGAATTTCGAGTTCTTCTTGTTTAAGGAATGTCATCCGACATTTTTCGCAGGGATATTGAATAGTATGTTGCTCAATTTCGTGACGTGCAAGCTTCTCGCGACGGCTAAAGCCCACTCCGCATTGCTTACAAGTAAACAAAGTATCTAAATGAAGAGCTTGATGACGATGAAGATCTCGTTCGCGTGTGAACGTCTTCGAACATATATCACAAATATGCGAACGATAATGCGATGTTTTTGGAGTTGTTGCAGGTGGCTTAGGCGATACACCCATGGCTCGTTGCTGCGCTTGAGAAAACAAAACATTAGATTGTTGAACCGGTAAGTCGGTTGCACGAACTTGGGTTATATTTACAGGCTTCTCACTATGGTCAATCGTTTCGTTGCCCTGCGCTACAATAGGGTTTTGCGAAATTACACCTTTTCCCGAACTCTTAGTCTGATTGGACACCAATTCTTGTGATTTATCTCTACGTGCATTTTTATTATCCGCTACATGAGAACGAACATGCTTTAACAGTTCTATTCCATTAGGGAAAGTAAGCGAACAATATTGGCAACCATATGACTTCACGCTACTATGCACGCGCATATGCTTAGTAAGATTAGTATTACGCGAGAAACTTTTCATGCAAACTGGACACGAAAACGGTCTCACCCCCGTATGTACTATGGTATGCTTTTTAAGATCCGATCTTCTGCAAAAACCTTTATTGCAGTTGGCGCAAACATATGGCCGCTCTGTATCGTGATTTTCACGTATATGAGCAATCAGGCTCTGACGGCTATTAAAACGTTTGGAGCAAAAGCTACATGTGTATGGCGTGTTCGGGTCATGGTTTAGTTCGTGTTGACTGCATTCGAGTTGGGTTTTAAATGCCATGTCACAATATTGACACAAGTACGTATTTTTAATGTTGAATTCGAGACCCGTCATCTCCCTGGTGGAGGCGCTTATGTTATCTGATCCAGTGCTGGTTTCTTCCTGTGAGGTAATATTGGCGGGAACATTGCGTATCATTGACACGTTATCTTTCGGCGCCTGTGTTGGGGGTACTGCCAAATTTGTTGCATCGTTTTGTTTGTTTGTTGCGACGTTCACATTCTCTGTTTCTGAATCGGATTCCATGGAAAAATCATCTTCCGAACTTTCATAATCTTGCTCTGGATTCACTTCAGTAATTTCACAATCATCTTCCGGTTCAAAAATACCTGGATTACCATTCAAACCCGGCCTTTTAGAAACATCGGGGCTTAATTGATTTGCTCGATTTTGCAGTTGAGCCTCGCATCTTTGCACAATTTGTCGGAATCTGCTAAAAGCATTAACCATTTCTAAACAGCGTTGACATACAACATGTGGTAAATAAGAAGATTTGTCGTACTGTAAAAGGAAAAAAAAATTAAATCTAGATGCTTATTTTTAATTTTCGCTTACTTTGATTTGAAATAATTCATAGAGTATTAGTTTCAAGGCTTGCTTTTTATTGCCCTTTTCATCCGTAGGCTCTTCAAATATATCCACGACTCCTCCTTCGTTGTTATCTTGATGCAAGCAAAGACGACATAGTTTTTCCATTGCGTTTATTTCATTAGTATGGTCCATTGGTATCGACAATCCATCCTCATGCAATTCTATGTCATTTGTGTCCATTATCGTCAAGCTGTGATTTCAAAGAAAATTGTTTAGCCTTCAATTTTTTTATACAAAAGTTGCAAAAATGTTTGTTTTTATGAGTGAATAAGACGGGGATGCAACAAATAGTATTAAATTAGTGTTTCAACACATAATAATAATATTTTGCAACCCCCTGAGGTTTATAAATATATTGAAATTCAATATAGCAAAATGTCGTACTAAGCTCAGCAATTTGATTGTTGGTAAGGCGGTTTTGGAAATAAGAATGACTTCAATTATAGGAAAGCGATAAAAAATATTCGATTTGAATTATTTTTCATATTATATCAACTATTCAGTTAATTTTCTCTCATATTATTTAAATTTAGATCTCATTAACATATTTTACGTTCTATTCCTTGGGGAGTACCGCGTGTACCAGCTGTAAATCTGGTATCGTGCGTGGTTATTAAGAATTCAGAGAAGCTGAAGTAAATAATTTAATCTTTCCTTTAGGCGTACTCACCCATTGCTTTTCCTTTTTTCCTTTTGATGCTTCCGTTTAAACGCTGGAAAGCATGTTTTTATTTGGATTCATTAACAAAACGTATGTCCTTACAACCATTTGCTTTAGCATCTATACAAAGCGACAAGGCATCGTAAGTAGCACATATTTGTAGATAATTGTAGATTATTTTTTAAGGCTTTGTTTTTTAAGTGCGACCTGTTTGAAGAAGGAAGAGAATTCAATTATATTCTTTAATGTGAATTTATCATAGATCTACATCAATGCTCTTTTGCACATAAGAAATTGTGAAGCTACGTTGCTAGGCAGTAGCTATAATCTGTCAGTTGACGGGTCTGCTTCCACTTTCAGTTCTGGTTGAAAGTGCCATCGAATTTCTTCTTGACTGTCTTCCGACGGTTTCCGTAACTATTCTTTGATTATCGGCCTTTGCGGTCATGTGCTTATATAAAATCATAGATTGCATGTTATTATCGGATGAATTCGATTAAAATCGTATAGGTCTATCAACATATCCCCTTAATTCCCTGAGCAAGATTGGCTTCTGTCGGGAGGGTTACCCCTTTCATATAATTATCGTGAAGCTCGTTGTAATAAACTAGCTGCCGGCAGACAGGTTGAAATGGCTAATGATGGTGGCGCAGGCTCCGTTATTATCAGTAAGAGTTCGGCAAAACCAGTTATTTCTAAGGATGCTGACACTACCTCTGTACCCGTCTAAGGCGCCAACGAGCTGACGGAGGATTATGTGTCTACCATAGAGCTGCTACCGAACCCCCAGATGTCCCCTCAGAAGTATTTAGGTAATAAGCTCTCAGAAGAAGAGGCGAAGAAAGATTTAAGTTTAGTTCCGTACGTTATTCTTCTTTTAAAATATTGTTTCGGCAATCCTATTCGCAAGCATTATGTCGCCAAAATTTTGGCTTCAAGGCACTTCAATTAAAAGGTTTTTACGCCGGTAAGGAAATATCGCTTCGGATATTATAGCAGTAAGTTAAGCAGCCAAAATAGTAAGGGATAGGTGGCATTTGCTGGTTAATTGCGGTTAACCATTGCTTACCATCATCTAGTCCTTCTTCGTGACTGTTGAGTTTGTGGACGGTAGAATAATACTACACACCTGTAATTTATATACAGCATGCTCTTACATTTCTACAGCGTCTGATCTTGCTATTTACTGAGCGCACTTGTCTTTGATTGAAAATATTACTTGTCGCCTAGATGATGTCCACTACATATACATCTAAAGATGATGATAGAAGAGGAGATGATGGAAGAGCAAAAGCGACCAAGCCAAAGAAGAAGAAACGGAAACAATCGGGAAAACATTAAAAAGAATAACAACTTTTATATATATTTTTATATATATTAATAAAGCTATTTTAAGCATATAATAAAGTTATTATATAAATAAAGCTATTTATATTTAAATATAAGTTCAAATAAACGTCAGTCGGCTGTCTTCTTGGACTCTTTTTCGCCTTTTTTTGACTTTCCTCGTTAATACATAATTCTGCAGATTCATTGCTAATATGACTCGAAGGTGTTACGCAGTTATCAAGTTTATGTTTTATTAGCACATGCTCTATGACAGTAGGACCACAATCTACGAGAGACATTAATATATACCGTAAGCTGTTGCCTTCTTCAGCTTCATTAATAACGCCTCGTAACTGTTCCTTAGTTGGCAAAGTTTTCCCTTGCTTGGTTCTTTCCAAAGGGTATTTTTCACGTACAGCGAAGCGTAAATCCTGCCCCTCGTGATGTGGACGTAATATATAAAGAATCGTAAATTCATGATCGGTTAATATAATATTACCGCGATCATACAATTCGACTATCACATGATAAGCTGCTTTGTTCATACCAATTAAAAGATCAACACCGAGCTGCTACAATTTCTCCAAACGTTTGTCCACTGGGTGCGAATGACACGACGAAAATATACCATTTAGTCCAGAATAAGTGTGTAATACTCAACACTCCACTTCTGATTGGGTTGGACTTCTAACAATAAAAGAGCGCGGTAAGGAATAAGTCCAGGTTTAATTACTTATACTGATCGAGTTTATTTAATTTTTAAATATACCACATGTACTATCCATGCTTAAGTGATTGATAAAAAACATTCCTTTTCAAAATGAAAAACTTAGACGTTGGAATCGAAAAGAATTGGATGCCGGCCTATTATATAGAATCTTACGTGTATTGAGAATATACTCATTCTAGGAGGTTTTCGATGGGTATTTCCATGCACCACAAGGAGAAGGACGTGTTTCAAATGGATCATAAGATACACAGGAACTAACCAACAAATGCTAAAAAAAAATGCTCTCTGTACATGCCCTCATTGTATTTTACAATTTGGACGGCTCAAATTCCCTCTTTAATAGCATAATATTTTATGGGGAAATACGAAGAAATTTCAGAATATTTTTGAATGCGTGACAAACAATAGATGAAAGCAGGTTTACCTGCATCCGACCGACAAAATTTTTGGTTTTCATTTTCTCGCAAAATTTGTATTAAAAAAGGCGAAGTAAACCAAAACAACATAAAATTGTTTTTTCATTTATGTTTTTTTTATTATTTCCTCTATTTATTATTATTTTCAGACACTTGTTGCATACAATTTCTGCGACTGATTAAATGGGCGAGTCTGTACTTACAATTTCTTCATATAAATTTGGCGGCTTGACTTTGATGAGAATAATATTTTTTCTATTCACATATTTATACCCTGCATTACTTATGGCTATGTTAATTTAGTACGGGCGTATGTAACCCTCAAAAATGCTTAAGATACGCCCACCTTTTATTATACCGATGGATTCTGAATCATTTTCTAAATCGACCTAAGCCTTTCTGTCTGTCACGTAAGATTGTGTTGAGGAAATTTAGTACACAAACGTATTTTAGCTCTAAGGCGAACGCTATTGAAAATAGTCGGTTCGATTCACTTTTTAATCCTCTTCCCCTATAACGTCTATTCCGGAAAAACCGTTATATGCGGAAAAATTAAAATTTTCAAAATTTCTCGGTAAAAGTCGCTAACTAATTGTATTTGGGATCCCAAATTGGTGTGAAATCTTTAGGTCCAGTGGTGCAAACCGAAGCTTTATATGGTAAAAAGGTCGAGTTTCGAATATTTCATGGGGAAAATTGACTCATAATAGTAAATTGACGAAAAATCTACCCACCTACGTTTGAAACGCAAATCCTTAAGTGGCAAAAAAAGCCTAATTGTCAATTTTTTTGTGATGAAAGTTTCTTTTTGATAGTAAATGGACCTAATTTGAACCACGTGGGTCTTTCTTTTGGCCCCATTCCTTATAAGATATACCATGAGTAGTAAGCTCTTCAAAAAAAGGCTTAGTTTTTAATATTTTATGATGAAAATTAACTCGAATATTAAACGTTCCAGCGAAAAAATTAACGGTAGTGAATTTGGATTACATAAGAATATTTTTTTGAGCCCAAACATGTACAGGCGCTACCACGAAACGCAAATACTTATATGGGGAGAAAATGCAATCTTCCATTATTCGGGCTTTCAAGACAATTATGACTTTGTGTGAAAATAATGCGTAGTTTTTGAAGTATTATTACTGAAACGGACGAACAACTGTACTAGACGAAGTGGTTTTTATTATAACTTTTTTTGGTAGACAAATAATACAAATAATTTTTTTATTTTTTATTTTAAGATACGCATTTTTTAATAATTTTATGGATTAAATTTTTAATGAAATATTATCTAAATTCCCTACTCAATTAAATACACAAATCATGTAGACCCTAAACATACTTTGGTCTCTTGTATAAAAATATAGACTAATTAATAAAAATTTAAGTTACATCAGAAATAATACAACCTATCAAACCACCAATAATATCAACTAATAAAGTTAAGGATTTCAAACTTTTAAGTGTAAAGGTAATAATTCCATTATAGGGATAGGATAATTATTCAATTAACTTACCTCCTACAACGTTTTCTAAATGATAATCCTATTATTCTTTTTAATATTTTTAATATTACCCATCTTTCATCACTTATCTTCAAAATAATTTAAGGAAAAACCAGTAAGAAAATTATATTCGGAAAAGAAAATAAATTGCCATACTATATAACATGGAGTGGGCGTGGCTGATTTTTTCTATTTACAAAATAAAAGTAATTGTTCCATAGCTGTGTGGACGTTGTGACGCATCCTTGGAAAAGTTTAAGTCATTTCCAAATTCTTTCGCAAGCTTGTGGGTTGTCGTTTTCGCTAACGGTAGAATCATTACCACAGATACTACATAGTTGCGCAGACAGACAATTGGACAGATGAACAGACGGACGTGTTTGTGTGCATTCCAATTTTGAAATAAGCCAAGAATTTATGCACTTTTTGGTGTCTTTTAAGCTTGTTTCCTTGTATTATAAGGGAATTGAAAAAAAATTAAATTTTGATACGATATAATGCTGTCTAGGCATGTCAAATTTTTTTCACTTTCGTACGGATGCTGTAGCGTCGTCCACAGAATATGCGTTCAAGTTTTTGTAGATCTATCTGCCATAGCTTATGAGTAACGAGCAAAAGAGCAATTTATCATTCCTTTTGAAAAATAAAAGTGCTCTCAGTTTGCGCGTTGCTGTGGGCATTTCCTTCGATCGATTTGATTGATTTTATACATCAACATCAAAGTATACATATTCCTGATCAACATCAATCTCTAAATCGCTTTAAACATGTCCGTCTGTGTAATCTCTGTTGTAAGCATTCTCCTGGCCACAGGAGAACAAACGACAAAATGAATACATCCTTCGGTGATGAGTACAGAAATGCAAATAAAAAACTGAACTCTTGTTGTATATTATTTTCTGTAATAGATTATTAAAGAAGCAATTATTAATATGAAATATAAAAAAATTTAACTTATTGCCTACGTAAATTCTGTTCATTTGTTTTGGCTGCTTATGCAGACACAACGTAGCAAAATTCGCAGACAATTTTTTTCTTTTGTAAAGGCAGTGAATTAAGGCGACCACATTGCTACTTTCTAAATTTAGGAATATAATTTGTTTCTTTCATTTCCATAAAAAAATCACTTTAATATTGTTATTCTTATAACATAGTATTTGCTAAATTACCTAAAAATATATAAAAACCTTGACGGGTGGTCATCTTAACTGCAAGTATTGCGCGGACATTTTGAACGCTTCTATAATCCACGCCAAAACGCCATAATTGAAAAAACACCGCAAGCCAAATTTTATGGATTTTTATAAAATTTTCTATCGAGTAAATTGAATAGTTTAATTAAATAAAATGGAATAGTATTAAAATAAAGTGGATCAAGTTTTAAAAATTCCTTTTTATTTCATTTTAAATATAGCAATATTTTTTTAATGAAAGTGGAAGCGGTGGAAGCGATCAAGCCGGTGTCGTTGTAAGAAGTATTCGTTACAACAAAGAACGAGTAAGTTCTTCATTTTTTAAACAATAAATACATGTGCATATGTAATATATAATATGTATATAAAATATTTGCTTTTCACATTTTTAGTTAGAAGAGCGCTTGAGCGCGCTGTTCAGTCAACAATATCAACAGCAACAAGCAAATATCAACAACAACTTTAGCAACATCACACTTTTCAGTAGTCGCGAAAATCGTGTCGGTTGCGTTAGTCGCTTTCGGTCGCTTCGCATATTAGAATTTCGAACGATGAGGATGTGTGAATTTCTTAACGCGGGAGTTTATGCGGAATAATATACGTAAATATATATAATATTGAGAAGAAAACTATTAACGCATAATAAATATTTTTATGTTTGAATACAACCATCCGTCACAAAACGGACTTCTCATATTCGATTAAGGCAATATGAATGTTATCTGACAACAAATTAATTAATTAATAATTTTAAAGTAAAAAGAATGCAAAAAATCAAAGCACACACCTTTCACAGTTCATAAATTATTGAAAGCGGTAAAAAAAGTCCGTAACCTTGTCTCTCTTACACTAACGCAGAAAAAAAAATTCTTTTAATTAATTTCTTTTGTAATAATTATGTGCTAAAATTTAAGTCAAAAATATTATCCACTATAATGCAATGAAGAAAGTTTTATGAAATGTAACTGAAAAACGGTATTAAATGTTAATTATTAAGGCCAGTGGGAAGTGTTGTGAGTGCGTTTTTCTAATGAGTAAATGCAAAAAAAAAAGACTCAAAGTAGAATCAAACTTGTGTTATTTAAATTAGTGATAACCTTTGCTTCATATGCCGGATGTACCAAGAAACCTAAATAAGTGTTGTATTGTATTTCGTCCATTTGGATATTGAATGATATTTTGCTGATATTGAAAAAAATGTAATTCAGATAATTCTTGTAGTCATCAGTACGATCATGTTTGGGTTTGTCCGAATTCACAGTACTTGCGACTGCGAGAAAAGTTCATTTAAGAATGATTATAGTTATGCTCCTAGAAAGTTTTAGAAAAGTAAATACCATCATTACACAGCCCACCATTAAGTACACTACTCTACTTTGTTTAATATAGTCGTTCATATAGCGATTTTTCAAAATAAGGTTTTATATGGGGACTGGTCGAAAAAGTGGTCCCATCGGAACGAATTTCAATAGCGTGCGTTCTTGGGTACAAAATTTCATGAAAACACTACGACTTGTAAGTTGAATACAAGAAAATAAGACAGACAGACGGGCAGATAAGCTTAGGTCGATTCAGAAAGTAAAAAGTGGGTTTGTCTCAAATCCTTTTGGGTCTTGCATACACCCGCGTAACATTGTACTACAAGTGTAACATGGCTATGGCCAGAAGGCAATAAGGGAAGGGCAAGAGATAGGGGGAAGTGGTGACCGCAGTCTAGAGGGCGTGTCTTACGCCTTTAACGACTGGGTACTCACCATAGCTATGACCATAGTAAGAGATTTGAATTCGTGAGCACTTGCTTTGTAATTTTTCCTACTCGGCTGCTCGTGTGGAAATTGGAGGCAAGCAGGGTTATACCTGCTTTTATAATGGGCGTGTAAGGATAATTTGCCAGTTCATCGTGATGATAAGGATCGAATTAATTCCATTTTTTTATGCTTTCTGTTACTTCCGTTGCGTATTAATTGGCTTTGTTTCTTTTTGTCAGTGAAAAACTAAGGAATTTATTTATATTCTTCTCACATAAGTGAAATTAACGTATGTTGCGTAACTAAATGATTGTTATAACCCTGAATCAAAATTTAAGCCGGCTTTATGGAATTTTATTTAAGACGTTGTGTGAAAGTTGATTTTTGTTTACTAATGAATATACAATAAATAAAACTGTTTTCCATCATTCGTAAGTCGTTTTTCAGTTTTCTTTATTTCTTGTTAGACGAGTAATTAGTGTAAATATGATAAAATTTACAAAAACAAAAAAAGACTATAATCACCGCACAACGACGATTAATGCATTTATTGGATATCTGACTTTGAAATTGTAGCAAAAGGGTAATGTGTTAGTTGATATTGGCAGTGGAAACTATTGCACTTCATGTGTTGTTGTTTTTTGTTCGCTTCAGATCAGAGGTTGACAACTTTTTTCATCAACTGGGCAATTTTAATTTTCCCATCTGAGCTCGAGCCAGAAAAAGCTCTCCACCTACGATTAAAAACGGAGCATTTCGCATCACTTTTCTTTCCCTTAAGGCCTAATGAGTAAACCAAAAAAAAACACGTTATATTTGACCTATGTGACGCCAAGCTGGTGATGAAGGCAAATACAATCAATCAATTTGTAGCATTGGTATGTGCGAACAAATAAAAAACAATATTTTGAAATTTTAGCGGGCCGGGCGCGTCGGGCATTGCCCATGCTTGCTATGGACCGGGGTATATGCTTACTAAAAGCACATTGAATACAACGCATAAGCAACGTAGTCGGAATTGTTTAAATAAAAATCTTACAGGGCAGTGCAGTGCATTTATGATAACTATAACTATAGGTGCTATTATAATCACCGCCTATGTCAATATTCCCAGCATAGAGATGAACGTGGATGGACATAAATGTATGGATGTTAACATGGGCGGTGGTGATAATGGCAGCAATAAAAATAAATTTGAACTTTGATACGTTTGAAATTGTTGAAATTGAATATTGAATTCTTCGATCTTTCAGGCAATATTGTCAACACCTGATATCTTTGTGATGCTGTTCTTTATGATGGTTTTATGACACAAAAAAATATCGAACTTTTTTTTAAATGCGACTTTCTCGCTTGTAAAACGTGCAAACGCGTGCATACATGTAAGATATATAAGACTTGTATGTACGTAATAGTGATAATATTAATAGCAATTTATGAATGTGTCTTGTCGGCATACACATGTGCATGCGCATAAGAAAATTGCATAGCGCAAGAAGATAGGCATTAAAAGCTTAGCATAGAATTTCAAGGCCATAATTTACTTAATTTTAATACCTTGACAAATCCTAGTGATGCTATGACATTTATGAATGATATTAAAAATCGCATGACATTAAAATAGCAAAAAAGTGTTGAGAATGCTTGAGAAAGGCATAAAAAGGCAAATTATGATTTGAGTGAAAGCGACCACCAACGTGTCCTGAGGATTGCACATTAGATTAAAAAAATGCATAAAAAGAATGAGCAAATAGGGTTTTGTTTACAAAAGCTTTTTCACACATTTATTGGCTCGCCTTATATTCAGAGTTTGTGACTAGATGATTTTATATCTCTTTGATTGTTTATAACATGATACAACAACGTGATGTGTACAAAAGACCGAAAGAATGATGGAAATATATTTGTAAATTAGTATGAAACGTTTCGCAATACGAAGGCTTCACGGACTCAGAAAGATCACCGATTTCCCGCAGGTATGCTCGAAACTTATTCACAGCACAAATGTTCAAGTTATCCTTTTTTAAGATTACCGGAAAATTGAGCGCGTTAGGTTCGTTTTAGAAAGCAACCGATTTCAATCAGCAGAGCTTATTTCTAGGCCTAATACGTGCACATGCATTAGCATCAGAACGCCTCCAGTGTCTCATTCTTTTCTAAGAGTCGATTTATTGAAGTTGGGAAGGTTTTCCGCAAAATTTCAATAAATGACCTACGGCGGCATTGTCTTCAAAAGTTCGTTATTGAAGCCGATGTGCGCTGTAATAAACTGGAACTTAAAAGATTTTTAGAACAGAAACAAGGAAAAGCTCTATAGTGGGCGCAGCCTACTATAAACACCTTGCACCACTTGTCCACACGACACGTCAATGTATCAAATTTCACCAAAATATATCAAAGATTGCGGGTTATAGGTTGAATACAACAATACAAGACGGACAGAGGGACGGCTTAGAACGATAATCAAAGAATCTATCTCACCTCCTGGTACCACAATTGGTGTACGTTATAAAAAACGCAGGAGTCTTCCTTAGGTCGGATACTTTTCGATGCATGGTCAAATAGATATCGCGAGCGTGAACTAGAGGCAAACCGGTTTTTGCTATTTGTTGCTACCATGATTTTTTTTGGTGTTTTCGCTGGGACCATGTCGTGTGGCACTTATGATAAAAGAAGCCAAATAAGCCATAAAGGATGACTTTTATTTCTTTGACGTTCGAAATTACAAAACGTATGTCTGAATTCATAGGCATATAGAAAGGTGTGAAAACGCACCATAATCATCCCGAGCTAAACGAATCCGAGTATTCACTCTTTTCTTTTTCTATTGTTAATCATATGACGAATGAACGGCAACTTAATTTTGCATAAATAAAAGAGCAGACATGTGGTTGTAGATTTTTATTTGTTTCTAAATCTCTTTCTTCTCTTCTATGAATTTTCGTTTCCAATAGATACACCGCTCCGCCTGGTCGCGTTTATGTGTATGCAAATATATTATAAAAAAAAGCCTAGACAATTCTTTTCTCGCAATTAATTAACTCAAGCCTATAAATCTTTTATTGGCGAAGGCTGCCTTCTATTAACCATTGCTGCAGAAGAGGAACAACTAAGCAGATCACAAACATTTGCCTTAAGATGACTCTTGAATTCACTTAATACCAAGGATTGAATCTGTCTTGAATTTCAGTTTAAGCTCAAGAGGATCTAAGCAAGTTTCCTAATGTTACAAAGCACTTTACATTTAATTCTCATTTTATTGGGAAAATGTATGCAAGTCAATCAGCCGTTCTAATCCAATGCTAAAAATGGCATTGAAAAATCGGAATGAATAGCTTAGTGGTCATTGCAAGGTAATAGCAATTCACATGACAATGATCTACGTTACTCAACTACGTTACTCTAAGCGTATCGAGTTGATTGGTTAGCTTGCCGGTTGACACGCACGCCTAGCTTGTCGTGCTTACTTTACTGACCGCAAGATCGTAGTGCATGTATGTACACATGTCTTATTCCTTTAAACGTGCTTTGATCTTTTTGGCAAGTTTCAAGTTGGCCATTGGTCTTCTCATTAAGTTCGCGCACATAGAAGATGTGTTTACACATGCGTGCATGCATCTATTCGCCTTACAATAGGATTATAATGCAACATAATGCTTTATAATTTTCTTTTTTTGGTTTCAATTGCTGGTCAATGCATACACGCTTGCCAGTATTGGCCAAGTAATTTGTTATACCTGTTCATAAGCATCGGGTTTATATTTCTTTTTGCATTGCGTAAATTATTGTAAAGAGTAACATATGTGCCTACTTATTCAAATTTTTTTCAAAAAAGTTCAAGGATGGTTTCCCAAACTATTCTTTGATAAACCGATGCTGACGAAAGCATAGATTCGGTTGAAAGAAAGAAATGAAAACCTGTTGTTTTCCTGTTGGAAAATCAGCAGCTCCTTCTCTTGTTCCTAACTCCTAGATAAATATTCAAAAATTTACGAAAAAGGTTTGTTAAGTATATGCAAAGACGAAGCTTGCGACCAGATGAAAAATCTGATATTATAACTAAAAACTTAAAACATTATAATCGGGCAAGGCAGACAATTATGTACCCTACACCTCTTCGCTTAATGTAAATTTTCACTTGTCTTCGTCATAAAATATCAAAAAATTTATATTGTCGCCCTATAAAGACTTGCTTTCTATGTGAACCATATGCAGGTAAGTGGATTCAAAAAGATAGATCTAACACAAAATCTTTAGACAAACTTTATTCATCAAGACAATCCCCTTCATTCCAACACTTCCCTATCGCTTCTATGCTTTTATGATGGAAAGATTTGACGAACCCTTCAAAATACATTTCAGTTTCGCCAATCACTTCTTCATTGGGGCCATGCCTGTTTTCGGCGATCATTTCTCTCACATTCACGGACAGATAATAGTCGCTATATCTATGAAATAAGTTGGATGTGAAAGCGATTCTTGCAATATTTTCATTGTTGTGAGCAGCTTGGGACGGTGGGTTAGTGGTGCTAAGTAATGTTCACTATTGATTCTTTGTCCACTTTCAAGATAATCGGTGTTTGTTGCACCGGACGTATTCCAAAGTAAGGAGATTATTATAACCCTCTTAGCCGACTTTTGCATTTTGGTCGCTTTGGACGACTTTCGCCGATTGCTTTCGACTCGACTGGCATCAATATTTTACACATTGCCGCACGGATGCTTCACTTGCCAAATCGGTTAACTGCATTTTTGGGATTTTATTAAATTTTAATATCGAAGCACTTCATTAGCTCCTAACTGTACGTATTCAAAACGAATTTCTGTAATAATACGTATTAACACCTAAATGACAAAATCGTTTTGGCCGCTGAATAATAAATAATTTATTTATAATATTTTACAATTTTTCTCAACTTCCTGTTTTATGGAGTTAATCGATTTGGCAAGTGAAGTGGAGACGTTTAAAATCAGTAGGCCATTCCTATGCGATGGATTGAAATCTAAATAATAGCTGTTAAGCGATTGCATTGATTTCACTATATTCTCTATTATCAAAAGGCGATGTCTTATCAGCGAAACACGAAATTCGAATTTTCTCTTAGTTTGCAACTACGAAAGTAATGTCATTAAAACTTGTAAGTAATGTTCGGAACATCATGAAACTTTGACCCATTTCGTTTGAATGTTACTATTATTTAAAATTCTTAAGGAACTGCCCATATCGTCGACTACATCCATATGTTATCCTACCAACTTGTTAAGCGACATGCCAAAACTACTAAACCACATTTACATGCCAAATCACTATCTTGGACTAACTTTTTGCAAAACATTGTAAAAGCACCTTTTTGACTTAAAAATGATCCGATCCTCCTCGATTTCCTTTTTAATAAGATTCGGGTTTGGGACGTAATTTTAGGTTGAACACAAAGATGTGGGCGGACGACTAACAGACGGACAGGCTAAGAGGCAGAAGGGCAAATGCGTGAACAGACCGACAGGTAGACAGATAAGCCCGAATCGGTTCAGAAATGATTCTGAATTTATTGGTGTAATAAAAGGTCTGTCTCAGAGTCTTCTGCATTTTACGTACAAGTTAATACCAGCATTGCCTGATTTGAAGCAAGATCGTACAGACAGTGTACTCTCAAAAGAGATTATTAGGCAAAAATTCAATCGAAAAAAATTATAAAAATTTTTCTGTGTAATTCGAAAGTGAAGTTGCGAAAGATACTTGACGCTAACGATGGTAAAAGCACTGGTCTGCTTAAGAATTTGGCCATGCGAAAACTGCTTCTGAAATGGGAAACGCGTTTACTCATATTGAAGCAAATGTATTGTGTCAGCAGTCGATGATTAAAATGGCATGAAAAGG